TTCCTGCTGGCACTGCAAAGCTAATAAAACTATGGCAGCGAGAACTGAATCCAGTTGCATAACCAAATTTTCTTTTAGTTATGTCTGTTCAAATGTAACAAAGACAATGGGGATCCAGAGATGTAACAGAAGGCAAAATAGCACCTGCAGGATCTGTAGAGGTGATGAAGTAAGAGCACCAAAACACAAAGTTTATTCTCCATTCCAGATATCTCTTTATCTATAAACTGGGTAAATCTGATCTGGAAGTGAGACATACAATAGCATGGATCCCCACAAAAATGCCATTCATAGTCATTCTTCCCCATCCACAATTGTATTCAATTTTATGTCAAAAGGATGAGACATGTAGGATTTACTACGCAGCGCCAAACCCATGGGTTGATCAGCTCCCGCACCCTTCATCTTGCTGTGGCTTTCAAAGGATAATGAAGAAAACATCAACTGCATTTAGATGCTGTAAACATTTTCTAAGTGTAGAGTGGATGGTAGGATGTTTCTTTCCCCACCCTGGCAGTGCTCAGGTAATGGCCAAGAGTGTGAGCCTCAATTATGGCAGGGGTGGGGAACCTCAGGCCTCGTGGCCAGATGTGGCCCCTGGCTTGCCTGGATCCGGCCCCCGAGGATCAGGGCTCCCGACCCCCCACCCCCTTGCTACATGACTGGAGCACATAAATCTACTAGTCTGGACCTCCTCCCAGGCTCTGGTGTGTGAGGGGAATGTGAGAGGTGTCTTTCTCCTTCTCGGTCAGGGGCCATGTAAGTGAGGGTTTTGTGTTTGTGGTTTTTTTTTCTTCTCACTTGTGTGTGGCCCCTGACTGATTTTTCTGTGGGTTGGTCAGGTAACTCAGCCCTTTTTAACATCTAGCAATCTTCTTTGACTCTTAATAGAAATGTAGCCGTGTTAGTCTGGTGTAGCTGAAGCAAAATGCAGGACTATGTAGCACTTTAAAGACTAACAAGATGGTTTATTAGATGATATTTATTGTCTTTTCCTTGTTGTAGGGAATAGAAGTGTGTATAATAGATTTCTTGTCTGGTGGAACAAAAGTCTTGCAAGGTGTCAGTTGGTGTGGATGTTTGTCTTGAGATGAGACGCTCTAAGTTAGAAATGTCATTCTTGATGTTTTTCTGTTTCTTGTATAAAATACTTATCAGGTGATTCCTTAATTTCTTGGATAATCTAATAAACCATCTTGTTAGTCTTTAAAGTGCTACATAGTCCTGCATTTTGCTTCTTTGACTCTATGACCTCTTGTGGCAGTTAATTCCTCACCCTGACTGCACGCTTTGCAAATAACTATCTCCTGTCATATTTCTTAATTCACTTGCCATCATTTCCATGGAGTGAGCTTCTTTTACGATCTACTGTAGAAGGGAGGGAATGATCAGTCATTACTAGATAATTCAGGTTTTAAGTCAGTTGATTTTGCTCTATGTTCTCACATTTCATCACAAGGAGATTAGCTTTTAATGATTTTAAGAACATTGTAATGGCAGCACAACTCAAAAGGGACCACATGCTTGCCTTTGTTGTGGGGGGGGTGTAATAAAGGGAGGGTCTGTGGGCACAGCTGAGAACATCATTTCAGGGTGAATTACTTACAGCTCATGGCTGGGAGTCCTCCACTATAGAGCATGTCAAACCAGTCACAAAGAGCACTTCTATTCACCACACCAGCTAGAAAGTAACCATACAAACAACTTTCTTAGACACTCCAGTTCTTCTCTGCCACCACCAATATCGCACGTTATGCAGACAAGAGGTTAGGAAAATCAATCTTACCAAATCAAAAAAAGGTTCTTCTGATCCCAAAGGACCAGCTAATTTCCTAGGTCAATTTATAACTCTAATGGCATGCTGTTAGCCAATTCTTTAGAATCTACAGGACCGAAGGAAGGAAGGAAGGAAGAAAAGAAGGCAGGAAATCAATTCTCTGGAACACATCCTATGTTAGGATGGATTATCAGACCTTTGTTCAAGCTTCAGTTCATAGCAAAGATCCTCCAGAGGTGAGAAGCTGGACTGAAGACCAAATGGAAGAACCCTGAGGGCCCTTTTTTATATCCTTGTCCATGTGGAAGGAATGCCATTGTTCTCCTGTGTAAAAATATATCCCCAAGCGGTGTCTGTCAGAAAAGTAAGTCACCTGTCAATGCAGGACTGATTTATTTGCAACTTGACACTATGGCTCCCATGTTTGCCTGAACATTCACAGAAAAGATTATTAGATGTGGATCGGCACCATCTAAGGCCCATTGTCCATCAAGCACTTCTGTTCACTTGACTAGTAGCCCTTTTATATTAGGCTGGTCAAGCCTCCTGTTGATGTCTCCCAGAAGCAACCGTTTGAACTACAAGTACATAGCCAATACTCATAAGATCCTATCCAAAAACGATGCATGCGTATGAATAGAATAAACATAATCAGCTAATTGTAAGCTTTTATAAATAGCTTTCTTGGCCCAATTTGTACAAGAGTTGGCGCAAACATATAACAGTGGTTGCAACAATGATCCATATGTTCAAATTGCAATCTAATAACATCACAGGGGGTTTAGTGGAGGGAGGCGGGATTGGACAGAATGAGACGTGGGTTCTATTCCGGATTCTGATACTGATCTGCTGCATTACCTTGGAAAAGGCACTACATATTGGTCTGTATCATGCCCTTAGTCATGTCTATTTCAACTCTTAAGCTCATAAGAACATAGAAGTAGCCATACTGGGTCAGACCAAAGGTCCATTTAGACCAATATCCTGTCTTCTGACAGTGGCCAATATCAGATGCCCCTGAGGGAGTGAACAGAACAGGCAATCGTCAAGTGACCCCTCCCCTATCACTCATTTCCAGCCTTTGACAGACAGAGGCTAGGGACCCCATTCTCACCCATCCTGGCTAATAAGTATTGATGGCCCTAGCCTCCATGAATCTATCTAGTTTATCTGAATGCTGTTAAAGTCCTGGTCTTCACAACTTCCTCTAGCAAGGAGTTTCACAGGTTGACTTTTTGAAGCATTGCCTCTCTCTTACTATATCTTTGCACAATGGGCCACAATCTCAGTTGGGAAGTGAGGGTATTACTGTAGTTCTGCTATTACTCCTACTAATAGTCAGCATCCTTTGCTGAAAAAGAGCACACTTCACCTATATGTGATGAATGAGTTTAATTTGCAAGCACTTTAAACTCAAATTACATATCGGTATGCATAGTTGGGCAGGCACTGAATATGTACTTTGTGACCAGCAAGATTCACTCACTGGTAACGTTATTTACCTCGAAGCTTTTTGGCAGAAAGTAATCAGAATATTCTTTTTATTTTTCAAATCTATTGGCCAGAAGCACCACCCCATCTGAGTTGTTGGCATCTAGAAAAGAGGGGTTCAACAATATAGTAGGAAACTGTTGGAAATTTAATGGATTTATCTTTCTCATTGCAGAAGTCGTATCTTAAACAAACACCAAAGAGGAAGTTGAGAAGACAGCTGGGAGGGTGATAAGAAAAAGAGGTGACACTGCCTCACTCAATGAAAGTGATGCTCCGTGTTTTGAAGAAATCATTCTGGTAGCCAAAAAGAGACACCCTACAGGTAGAAAGTACTTCAGATTATGGACTCTATCACTCTTATAGTTTCAGCTTCTACAAGAGGCAAGCCACCAGCAACAGAACAAACAATACATATGTAAATGCATAGGGTATCCTTTCATAGAATCACAGAATACTAGGACTGGAAGGGACCTGGAAAGGTCATTTGGTTGCGGTCTGTTGGGATGAGCTACCAATGGAGTGAAAGGTACAGAGTCCCTATCCTAACTTCTCACAGGTCTCTATCTTAGGCCAGCCCAGAAGAGCAAAGCTGTGGGAGGCTGTATCTACATTGGACAAGTTAACACCTTCAGCACAGCACGTGCTAGCTAACAGTGCAGCCACAGTGATGTTAATCTATTAGTGCAAACAAGACTTGAGCATTTTTACTGCAGTATCATGGACATCTGCTCAGAGCTAGGAGCTCTGTCTACATTATCACTTGCACTTTTGCTTCTTCAGTACAGCCATCCTTGGTTATCACTGTTTCAATCCAGGTACTGATTTTTCTAGTGCATACAAGAGGAGAGAGTGCACTTACTGATGTATTCTTCTTCAAGTAGTTGCAGACATGCAACCTGCTCAGGTGTGTGCTCACATCTGAAGTCAGAGAACTTTGCTTAACCATAACCATCTGGGAGGTGGCTCAGTTCTACCCCCATATTGCCTCAGTTTCTTCTCACCGCTCATGGCTGGAGTGGGAGTGTGTTGTGCTCTTCAAGTTCGTTACCACAGCGTTTGTGGTGATTTTCCTACAAATAGTTTATTTAGTAGCCCTTTCAGTGTCAATTTTGTGTAGCATAGTTATTAGAGTGTGAGCCAGCATAATGACTTCTCTGGGTTTCAAACACTGTTCATTGTGTAGGGCTGCTTTTCCTACTAGTGCCCTCCACACTGAATGTTTATCATGCCTCAGAGTAGGGGTAGGAAAATACCAGCCCACAGGCTAGATCTGGTTCACCAGGGTTAGCCCCTGGAAGGCTAGCACTGCTATATTTACTGCATCTCTGCAGGTATGGCAATTGCAGCTCCCATTGGCCGTGGATCACCGGTTTCGGCCTGTGGGAGCTGCAGGAAGCAGTGTCCCAGTCCACGCTACTTTCCCATTGGCTCCCATTGGCTAGGAACCAGCAATCAGCGGCCAATGGGAACTGCAATCACCTGTACCTGCAGAGGCACTGGTAAATTTAGCAGTGAGTGGCAGCCCAGCAGGGTGAACAGCTGCCATTTTATTGCCCACCCCAGCATTACGGAAAGGACATGCTAAGGAAAGATGCTCTACTTGCAAATTATTTAATAACATAACAGAGTTAACGAGGGATTTGTGTTTGTAGCAGCACCTTATTGAGCGGGCTACGAGGCTTGCATTGGCACTGGGAATCTCTGCCAATCATCAAAACATCCAGTGACAACAGTGATGTTGGCAACAACAGTCTGCACACCATCGGTATATCAGGCAGCAGCAGACTCACTGAACCTGTCTGTTCCTGACTTGCCATTCATTTAAAGGCTTTCAACTGAGATGGCCTTGTCTTCAATGGGTCTGGTGCCCACTTCATCTTCAACACCAATACCCGCTTCAGTACTGTAAGTCAACCATTCCATCAGCTTTATCAGGAGGCAACAAAGTTATGACACTTCTGCATCAGGAAAGATGATATGCCTACAGCAGCACAACTACCAGGATCTAAAACCCAGCTGGCTGTCCATCTCACATTCTTGAACAACCACGAATGGTCTCCAAACAGTGATGTGGTGAAGACCATGTTCAGTGAATGGAGCATCCCATGGGTCAACCTTTTTGCCACAAAGGACAAGAAACTTCATCGATTTTGTTATCAAATAGGACTCTGGCCAAGTTCCCTAATCAATGTCTTCCATCTGAACTGGAGACTGGAATTAACGTCTGATTCCGCTCCCCAAATCCCTCTCATCTCTCAGATTATCCTCAAACTCATGCTGAATCCTGCAAAACTGATACTTATTGTGCCAGCCTGGCAAAACAGCACTGGTTCTCCAACCTTCTCACTATCTCCTTGACCTGCCAAACCTCTTCCTCTCCTTCCTGACATGCTGCACTTTGACAACAACCAGGAAATTAGTCAAAGTCCTTAAAGACCCAAGTTGCAACCACATAAAACTAATTGTCTTTGGGCATAGCCATGTCCCAAGAGCACTTACAGACATGTGGTCACTCTCAGACTTACACTAAACTAGTGAAGAAAACAAAAGTATCCCTAAAAGGGACCCGTTTTCCTACTGAACAGGGAAGATGATGGCCACCTCTACTGTATCTTTTATTTCTCATAGTTCAGGTACTAAATCTTAACTTCCTGGTTTGAGGCAAGTGCTGCTTGGGAACATCAGCAAGCCAAAAACCAAAACCAAACATCTGACCACCAGAGGCGGTACCACTCAGTGGCATTGGAATAATGTGCATAGTGGGGGTGCTGAAAGGCACTGAACAAAACTGTAAACTCTGTCTATGATAGAAACACCTTCAAGTTAGGGGTGCTGCTACATCTCTAGTAACCCCAGTTTCAGCATTCCTGGTACCAATAGGTGGGTAAGCCGACAAGATGCTGGATGGTTCCAGGTATCCCATAGAGACTCTTTCGCTTTACTAAGGGATCAGATGCTGCTATTCCAAAAATCCCCAAAATACAGGTTCTCTGCTAAAGAATGCAAGGGAATGCGTGGATCTTTCCATAGCTGTTAGAAACCCTAGAAAATATGCAAATGTCATTTAATCATAATAGCCATTTGATATTTTCTGATGCCCCCTCCCCAAAAAACCACTGCTGTTATGGAAATGCACAATTGTTTAGCAGTAAAATGTTGTTTCAGTGCATTAATACATTTTAGCACACCCCATCTAATCTCATACACATGCAATAATTTCCTCCGACATCAAGATCTTTTTTCTTTCATACTTAACACAAGCCTAAGGATGCTACTTTTGTCATGCACCATACCTCTCATATCCTAACATTGTTTCCTCCTCACTTTTACCTCCTCCTCACTTGCAATATACATTCCCCCCCATTTCATTTGCATAATGAATCTCTGCTTTCATTAAAACACTTGATGCATGCACATGAGTGGAAGTCTGACAGTCTGTTAAAACTTACTTCTGTCTCTCTTTGTATCACCAGCAGCAATCCCTGGCTATAAAACAAATAATACTAAGGGTATAATTCAGTCCTAGGGACTTTTAAATTGTTAATAAACTTTTTAAATTGTGCTCTCAAGGTATGAGATTAGTCAATCTCCTCTGTGGAGCTGCAACCTTGTATTCAGCTTCTTCTCTAAATTGTTTTAAATGCAGTAAGAAGGAATTAAATGAAATTTGAAACCTTGGCACATTGCTTGAAAATGAAAGTCCATCAAAAGCAACTCCAAACCAATAACAAGTCATTCAATTCCAATAAAAGGTTTTGAGTTAAAAAGTGAAAGCAGAATGAAAAGAACTGATATAATAGATGACCATTTAGTGTTATTTTAAAGAGGTAATAGAATAAAATGCTTTGTGACATTAACTTAAGCAAGTGATACCAGCAGGTTACCTAGTTCTTTGAAGAAAAAAAAAAAAAAGACTTTGTTCTTGGGCTGTATCTATACTAGAACTGCAACTTCCTAGAGAACCCAAAGGGCACGTGTCCACCAACAAAAGTGCTTGCAGTGTGACACAGGAGTGGATATTGCTTAAGTGTTCGTATTTGCTGACTGTGCCTACACTGACTTTTCTGAAAATCTCCAGCTGGTGCATCTCCTGTTCTGGTGCTAGGACTAGCACATACTGGTCAATGAGCCTTAACCTACGCATAGGCCAACCCCACTCACAGCAGGTGCTGATAAGAGGATGGTAACACCTCCAGTGTCTGGCCTGCAATGATGCTCTCACGACCATGACAGAAACAGCTGGAAATATGCAGAAAAAAAATCAGTGTCCAATTCTGGACAAATTGGAGAAAGTCCAGAGAAGAGCAACAAAAAGGATTAAAAGTCTAGAATGCATCATCAGTGAGGAAAGATTGAAAAAAAAAAAACAGGTGTGTTTATCCTGGAGAAGAAAAGACTGGGTGGAGAGAGGGTTGATAACAGTTTTCAAGTACATAAAAGGTTGTTACAAGAAGGAGGGAGAGAAATAGTTCTTGTTACTCTCTGAGGGTAGGACAAGAAGCAAATGAGTTTAAATTGCAGCAAGAGAGATTCAGGTTAAATAATAAGAAAAATGTTCTGCCAGGAAGAATAGTTACGCACTGGAATACACTGCCTAGGGAGACTATGGAAGCTTCCGCGGAGGTTTTTAAGGGCAAGTTAAACACACATCTATCAGAGATGGTCTGGATAATACTTACTCCTGTCTTGAGGGCAGGGACTGGGCTAGAAGATCTCTTGAGGTCCCTTCTAGTCTATGATTCTATAACCCACTGATGAATCCACCACTGTATCACTGCAGTGACAGGTGGGCCAGAAAAACAACCCTTGCAGAGACAGTGGTACAATCACTCCCCCCAATATAACCTAACAGTGCTCTGAAATATCTGAAAAGCACAGCATGCTGGCACTCTTCACGTATCAAACTACTCAGCTACTGAGTGCACGGAGACCTGAGGGAGCCTAAGTCATGGCATGGATTGCCCTAACTTTGTCCATATCCCAGTACTCATCCAGAACAATGCAGGGCAGAGAGGTACAATAATAACATTTTAATAACATTTCCTGAAAACTTCTGAATCCTTGTGTCCCACAAGGATCTGAAGACCCCAAATATCAGGGTGAGATGAGTTCAGAGACTCGGTCTGTAACTCAGTACTTTGCGGTACATTGAAGAGGTTGCCAATTTATCATCTCAGCAGTATTTCCAATGCAATTAATTCAGCTATATATAAAAGCTCATTCCCCCCTGCTCTTCTCCACCACTAAGAGCAAATATATCCACTTATCTCACAATGGTGCCCAGCACCCTATACCGGTCTCAAGACCACATGGCATCAGGTGGGAAATGGGAGGTCCCTGGTGTGTGTGGAACAGTACGCATTGCTCCCATCTCTACATCAGGAGAAATGCAAGAGAAAAAGAATCCATTAATGCAACCTCAAAGAAAACCCCACATGAAATTCAAAATAAAAAGTAACAAATTCATTGACTAAAGAGTGAATAGATAGCTATATTTTCAAGCTTACCTCCTTGAGCTGAAAGGGTAGCAGTGCTTGCTACAATGCCTCCAAGTTTCCAGGTCCAAGGAAGCTGCTGCTGAAGATTCCATTGTATCTGGCATGGCAAGAATGTAGCCTCAGACTTTTACACCAGGTACATAGATCTTCTGTACAATACAGACTACTGCAAACAGCCAACCCAAGCAAAAAAAATCACTGATAGATGCAAAGAAACACAACACAGCAGGGAAATGATGACCTGTACCAAACAACTTACTTAGGTAATTCATGTCCGCATGGCGTGGCACTTTGTTCTCCTCTAAAGGCAGCTGGACCAGGAAGAGACTGATGAGCCTGCTACAATCTTGGCTAACAAAGGAGGGCTTTTCAGCTCAGTAAGTGAAAGGCTCATGAATTAAGCTCAAGAGATCCCAGGTTTGATCCCAGCTGCCAATAACCAGGTCTGATGCCATTACATTAAGGGTGTGTCTATACTGAACCGTTTTTCTGGAATAATGGCCGTTATTCCGGAAAACAATACTAGCATCCACATGAGGAATAAGTCCTTTTCTGAAAAAACTTTTTTGGAAGAGGGTATGTGTAGACACTCCACTGCTGCTATGTCGAAATATATCCTCACCAGAACCATTCTAACGTTATTCCTCCCCAGTGACTCCTGGGGCACTAAGTCGAGATAGCGTGTCTGGACTAATTTTGAGGCTTCCCTATAGCATGGATGCTCTATTTCAAAATAAGTTTTCCGAAAGAAGCTTGCAGAGTAGATGTATCCTTAGAATGACAGTATATGTACAACAAATTCCATGTGTACAAATCATGCATCGTGTGCAGCAGACACAAGGTGCCTAGCATGCTGACACACTATTCTGCAATAACTTCCATTTTTTTTAATACTAAACAGCTTTGCATAAATCAGAAGAATTAATCTTCCATGGCGTCAATATTCTGAAAACCATATTAACATTTTCACATGAGCTTAAGTGCCTCTCCCTCCAACTGAGATATGGATAGGTAAAACCATGGAAATGTGCCTACTAGACTTAGAGAGATGAACATTCTTATGCAGACATGTAGTTTAAAACATTAATTCTATATTTTATGTTCTACACAAAATAATTGTTGTGTCTAACCATGATTGTGTCCTCCTTTTAACTGAGCGAACGCCCTATCCTCTAGACCACAGGAGAACCCACCCAACCACCTTACCTTTAGGGCTTCCTTTATCACACCTTCTACATGCGGGATCCACCTTTCTCCAGGGGGACAGCCTGGGTGTTTTCAATACTAGTACACTTGACACAAGGGACAAGTAACAGGAGATGCTATTGTCCCATGAATAAGCCCAAACAGATCCACCTGGTATGGGACTATGTTTTAGTTTCTGCTTTGTTAAGGGATCTAGCTATACACAGGGCTGAGAAAAGAAGCTTTGATTGCTATTCAGAGCATGTTTGAAATGTTAATTGAATACAAAATCTTCTCTCGATATCCAGAACTGACTGCAGCAGAACCAACTGCTACCTCTCTTTTCCCATTAAGGCAATGAAAAGCATGCACAGAAATGAGTTTCTCTCTTCATGGCACAGAAGCCAAATCCAAGCAAGAGCAGTGGGATGAGGGAGGAAAAATCAGTTGTAAATAAACTCTGCTTTGCTACCAGAATTTCCCCTAGGCCTCTTGACACATTCTGATTCAAAGTTTCCCTTTGTGAGCGAGATCTAATGTGACTAATACAGTCGTGCCTTCTCCTTCAACTGAAAGCTTTACCGCTGCATGTGATCGGGAGTCAACAGTATTATATTCATTATACCAGAAACCTATTCATTGTTATGACTAAAAGTTGAGTCTTAAAACATATTCAGCTTCAAGACTTCTACTGGTTTTTTAAAAATGATACCTTAGAAAAGTGAGGCAATTGAAGGGTCCGTTGAAAGAACCAATTTTCCATTTCAACGTGTGGTGCAACAGATGTTACTCGCTGTAGTGTGATCAAAAGATTTCTAAATTGGATCAACCCCTGATTCTACAGGTCCATATTTAGCCAGTATTCCAATAAAGAAGAACCACTTTCTACATCCCTACAAAGCATATAAACAAAACGTTTAATTCTATACATGTGGAGAAGGAAACCTTACAGCTGCATTAGGAATCAGTTTAGTTGTTTCCTTTAAAATTAAAAAAAAACAACCAAAACCTACCCTTCATTCATTTAGCTATACTTCATGGGTTATATTTTAGTACTGAGGAGACATTCATATTAATGAAAGATCATACCTTTGTCTCCTTCTTCTGGTTCATTATTTATAAAGCACCAATCAGTGTGCAAAGAACCTTAGAAATAAAAGGTAACATCCGTGGCCTGAAGCACTCATGCTACAAATGGTTCTAACTACAAAGTGTACTTCACTTCTGGTGTTTATTTTTCAAGATATAAGCAGGGTAAGTTTGATCTTTCTGTCACAGAGAAGCATTTACTCCATCTGTAAAGAAGGGGAGGACAGTTCATTGAAACATGCAGCTCAGCTGGAAGATGGATGTGACACTTGAGCTTCAGAGCAAACAATCAATATAAAAAGAAGGCAATGAAAAGAATGCGAAAAGAAAAAATAAGTATACCTTGACCAGGGTCATTAGTGGAGCTGAAATATTGTTTTCTTCCCCATCCTCCAGTTTTGAAAGTTCTAGCTAACTAGCATAAAAATATATGTACTCCTCACAATGCAACCTGTTACAATTTTTATTTACCATTTGGGTGCTGAAGCAAACCAGTTTTGTAATCCAATTAAAAGGAGGGGAAAAAAAGAGTGGAATTCAATTCATTTGCTATTCTAGATCCCATTGCCAATGTTACTTTAAATTGCTTTTGACTGAACCAGAAAGTTCAGGTTAACTGAACAAGAGGATTCACAAAGCAAATTACCTTAGTACTAACGGGGAGGAAGAAAGGGCCAAGATTAGTAAACCCTGTTGGATACTTCGCAGTGTGAAGGGCTGAGAGATGCCAGAGCTAAAAATCGGTGAGGTGAAAATCAATAGAGTTTTAATCAGTGGTGGATTACAGGGAGATTTATTTGCTTGAAACCAGCAGGAGGAGATAAATCCCCCACTGAGATTAATTACTAGCAAGGGAGGTGAGGGGGAACTAGGGCAGTTATCCTAGCGAGAGCTATGAGAGACAAGAACATCAGTGGATCTATAGGACTATTGCTTAGATCTCTGCAGGTGATCAATATCCCCCCTGCAAATTCCCAGCCCTCCCTTTCTAGCTTCTTACAAGGCATCTCATTTGAGTGAATAGTCTATTAAATACACAGGACTTGTGAAATTGGTAAGTACGAATCACTATCTTGGAAGAGTTTGGGGGTTTTATTTGGTTTGTTTTTAAAGATCAACTTTTATGCCTTTTAAGCTAAAATTTAGGTGATCAAGTATTCTAGCAAAAGCAGCCCCAATAAATGGACAGATCACATTTTGAGATGTCCCCAACATAGGCTTCCCAAAGCACATTGGATTAGTGATTGGCAGCCCTATTTTGAATGGGGTTGAGCCCTCATCATACTCACTGACATCAACGGGAAATAGAAGTGAAAACATTTTTGAAAATCTGGCCATTGGTGAGTAGCCATTTAATTGTATAGACTTCCCAAGTGCAGTTTTATAGTCTTTGGGGCTAGAAGTTGGGATTTCCTCAAGTTAAGCATTAATGCAAAATACACACCTACAAAATGACCCACCAACCTGGCTAAGGAAAAGCCAGAAGTAAGAGTAATCCTCTGGTGAACAATATGAAACTTTAGAGCCAAGCCTAGAATAAGAAACTATCATGGTTTTGCACTATTTAAGGGATTTGCTAAAAAAACAAACAAACAGAAGAAGGTGTTGTTAGTTAATGTTTGATTCTCCCAGCCTGGGAGAAATAAAATAAAACCTGTTTACAAATAAGATACTGTAACAAAATCTGAGACATTAAATTTGCTATACACAGACCAAATGGGTAGGACTGTTCATTTGCTTCTGTTATTCCCAAAGCTAGATGAGACATCTACATCTTAAACATGAGTTAAGAAAGATTAAACTGCTATTTTCTTTTAGGAGATAGCCCATGAAAAAGATGAGAAGTCCAAGGTTCTTTTGATGGTGATTTATCTTGATAACTCTGTAAAGCGAAGATCTGAGACACAATTTCTCTTTCTCTACATTTGTCAAATACAACCATGTGTTACAATTTGTACAGTAATTCAGAGCAGGTTCTTTATTGGGGAAAAATGCAAATTCCAGACAGATTTAATATAAATTACAAAACAGAAATGTAGAAAATCATCTCCCCACAAATACCTCATTTAACTGAATGTACAGTCTCTATGAAACAAACGAAGTATTTCCAATTAGTCAGCCATTTTAAAGCAGATCATAAAAATAATCCAAGCCTTGTCCCAGCTCCCAGACGGCTACTCCGGTCTCTAATTCCTTTGCAAGTTCTAAGCGTAATTGGATGGACTGTGAAAAGGATAGAAAAGGTAATCAGTTTTTGCTGAATATAATCCTTTGGATCTGCATGCTGCCCTCTTTTTGTAGCATTAGATACAATGCATGTTTAAAAATTCTTTTTTCCTTAGGACTAGATGCTGTGCCTGGAGGCTAGAGCTTCAAGTATTCACTAGTCAATTAGAGCACAGCCAATGTAGTCTCATCAGTTACAGCATTTATTAGTGCATCAACCTAGCATATGCTGACTAACTGGACACACAAAACAGCTTTGAAACAAATAATATTCTGAACTACACATGGAAGTAGTTTATTTGGGCTATCACACAACATACTGCAATGGGCACTTATACTTAGTCACTAGAAATTTCAACTCTCCCAGAAGTCTCACAAGTTAAAGTATAAAGCAGACTTTAACACTGCAGTCAAGTAACACAACTTGTCAAGTATCAAATATTCTGTTTATAGAAATTTATCTCCTTCCCAAGCCCATTCTTTTCTTCAGTGTGAAGAATTATGCAGAAAATTACATCTTAAAGGGACATTGTCATGGTAGTATTTAAGAAAATAACAAAAAACAAACCAAAACAAAAAAGAACACCTTCCCAAAAAAAAACCTCTCCTCAAACCTAAACCAACCAAAGAAACTCCCCCCCCACCAAAAAAAACCCAGCCAAAAACAAAAAAAACACAACAACATTTAAAAGATTCCTTATCTATGTTATAACCACAATTTTAAGGTATTAAAAGTGAAGAATCTCAGCAATTTAATATTTAGACTTTCTCTCGGCCTGGACAGTACTTTTCAAGCCACTTTAGTTTTTTTGCACTAGTGTAAGGTTACTCAACAGGTAGCCTGTGGGCCACATGCGTCCCGTGGCCCATTTGTTTGTGGCCCGCTGTGTAGTTTGGGTTTATGCAGGGCCCGTGGGTCAGATCCTTTGAACACAGCCTCCACTGGGAACACGCTCCACAATAGCGAGGTGGAGTGAGCACTGAAGGACGCAAGCGGATGGGCTGGCTGGAACAGACGGGTATAGGGTGTTGGCATTTCTAGCCCCCATGGAGGAGGTGCCAGGAGAGCTGGGACATTGTGGGAAGTGCTTTGTATTCATGCCTGTCAGTGTGGGTACGTCTAGACTACCGGGTTTTGTCGACAGAAGTTTTGTCGACAGATACTGTCGACAAAACTTCTGTTGACAGAGCGTCCAGACACATTGAGTTCTATCGCCAAAGCAAGCTGCTTTGTCAACAGAACCCTGTAGTCTAGACGCAACCCTACAGGCAATAACACCTTCTGTCGACAGAACTCTGTCGACAGAAGGTGTTATGCCTCGTAAAATGAGGTATACCAGCGTCGACAAAACTGCTGAGTTCTGTCGACGTTATGTCGACAGAACTCAGCGGTAGTGTAGACTCTGGTATAGTTTTGTTGACAAAAGTCCACTTTTGTCGACAAAACTCAGTAGTCTAGACACACCCTGTGAAAGAAGCTATTTGCATATATATTTGCCCATATATGCAACCACACTTAATTGCCGGCCATCAGCATTGCTGAGAGTATCATTGTGGTCCCCAGGACTTCCAAAGTTGAGTAGCCCTGCACTAGTGCAATGCTGCAAAGTTTGAAGTGCAAACACTATAGTGAAGTTTCTGATAGGAATTGAAAAAAAATCATGAATATAGCTGTCTTCGGTTTTGTGGCTGTTTTTTTTACAAAATCTGAATGAGTCCAGTTTTGAGCAGACAACGTGCTTATAATTACATAATAAAGATGAAACTGAGTTGTGATGGGGAAGCTAAGAGAATTTACTGTCACTGGCCAATTTAATCACTTTTATATGAATGATTTTTCAGCTTTGCTTCAGTGTAGAAAACTCTTTAAACTTCCATTCTAATCTGTTAAAAATGAAAGAAAAATTCTATTTACATCTGTATAAATACACCAATCGCCTCAGTGCAGCATCTACTATTCAGAGATGAAAGAACAGTCAAAAGAATTCTCAAAAAATTAGAGGAATTTTGTTTATAATCCAGATGGATTATGCCATTAATGTGATAAAATCATTCTGCAAGACCAAGGAGCATATAGCAAAGACAGATTGCAGTGAAAGCTGTCTTGCTAAGGTGCAGCTACGCTGGGATTTTCCAGCAATGGCTCACTTGGCTTCACCAGCACTATCAAGAAAGGAGTTTAATCCAGAGATCAACACTTCTGCATCCTATCCACGTGAGGGCTGGCACTAATGTGAGGCCAGTGATGGCAAAGGTGCTCATGGAGCTGAAGCTGAAAGGAACAGTCCTTTCCCACTTACCTAGCGTGGGCTTCTGAGGGATTCATAATGGTTTAACCATTTATAATATGACTCTCTCTTTTCTAAGCTTAAACTTTCATTAAAAGCTCATTTTCCATTCAGGTTGATGCTTCAAGTCCTGCCTCTAAGGTCTATCCACATATAGACTTAGTGCACTGCAAAGTGTGGTGTAAATCTATAGTGTGTTAGCCTGCCGTCTGCACTAACTGGACATACATGGAGCCTGATATTGTACTCTGTAAGTTCCCTAGTGCATCTTGACCTACATTCCTCTCTGTTTAAAACAGCAGTAGGTCAAAGCACTCCAAGGAACTTTTAGTATGTTATAGCAGGATCCACATAGTGACTCGGTGTGCCACAGGCTGGTGGGCTGTAGATTTAAACTCAGCTTGCTGGGTACTAACTCCTCACATAGCATAGCCCTAAGTTGATGTGGGAGAACCCAGTTACAGGGTGACCTCTTGTACTAAAACAAAGGATTCCCTCAAAAATGGAAAAGCAGTATCTACCCACCTACCCTCTTTAGTTCTCTTATCCCCTTTGACCTGAAGACAAGACATAACTGTACCTTTAATGTTGGGTAGAAGACTACATGCTTTCCTCCTTTATTTCTGCAAGGCAGAAGAAGAAAATAGTCACTCACCTTTTTGACATGACATTGGGGTGGGCAGATTTTGTGAAGTTTTTCAACTATTAGGAGTTAATGTTGGTTTCATTTTTTCCCTCAGAAAAGCAGCAGCAAATGATTTGACAAACCTGAGTTTTTACTGTGAATTCTATTGGTGCTAAAAATGAGAGAATGCAATTTTATTGGTATTCAAGAGTTAATAAGGAGAGCCAGAGGGAGGGAGCTTTGTATAATGATTTCCAGAAGTAACCATTGCTTATTACACAGATTATCTTTGGGATATATGAACTGTTTAAAGATGTATGATCTGATATTTCAGTGTCTTTGCAAGTAGTCAAGTTGCTTCTTAGCAACTGAAGACATATTCCCAGGTGACATATTTCACTAGTGAAGCATATTTTCTGCTCTGGAGCGTATTAACTTTCACCTTAGCTAAACCTCTGCATAGTGGAAGTGGAGATGGGAAGATGCTAAATCCTTCCTATAGCTTGGCAAAAGCAGTGCACACAGAATGATCTTCACAGTTGTCTTTCAGGTAGGGGGCAGCAAGTCAGAAGGAAGAGGATTTTCAGGCACAGTGTATTCGCTGATCGATTCTCTCTTCCAAAAGGCTAACAGATAGGCTGTGTCTAGACTGGCAAGTTTTTCCAGAAAATCAGCCGCTTTTCCGGAAAAACTTTCCAGCTGTCTACACTGGCCGCTTGAATTTCCGGAAAAGCACTGCCAATCTCATGTAAGATTGTCAGTGCTTTTCCGGAAATACTATGCTGCTCCTGTTCGGGCAAAAGTCTTTTTCCGAAATACTTTTTCGCAAAAGGGCCAGTGTAGACAGCACAGTACTGTTTTCCGTAAAAAAGCCCCGATCGCGAAAATGGCGATCAGGGCTTTTTTGCGGAAAAGCTCGTCTAGATTGGCCATGGATGCTTTTCTGCAAAAAGTGCTTTTTCGGAAAAGCATCCTGCAAATCTAGACGTGCTTTTCCAAAAATGCTTTTAACAGAAAAGTTTTCCATTAAAAGCATTTTCGGAAAACCATGCCAGTGTAGACGTAGCCATAATGTTCAAGGAACAGGTTCCACAGGTAGGTTAGGTAGCATTGATCAGATTTCCAGTTATGCAGGTTTGATTTGCAGCGGCTGCTTGGGAAGGGAGGGTCGTACAAGAGTTAAATAAGGCCACTGAGCTGGCCATGCAAGTACGGGATCTCAGATTCACCTTTTGAGAATAAGCCTCCATCGTCAGGTGCCAATGCTCACTTAAAAGAAAGGACGTTTACTGAAAGTGATGCCATCCATCTATGAGTTAGCTAGGGTTTGTCTAAACATACATTTAGTTAGAGGCAGTGTTCCCTCTAAGCTGCATGGCTTCACAGGTAGGGCTGACTCAGGTGGGGCTGATGAATCACCTGTGACGCTGTGCTGCTGGAGTGTTAATATATCCCATGCTAACCTGCCATGGACTAACCTCCCATGTGGACGCAGTTGACAAGCAGAAACAGTTTGTGTAGACATTTTGATTTAGTCCTCTTTGAAACAGGACTAGCTCAAAGCGCATTAAGGACCTGTTACTACCATCAACAGGATCCACACAGAGCAGATTTGCGTCCCAGCATGCCACAAGCAAGTTTTCATGAAATCAAGCCTTCCATCTCCAGTTGGACTTTGCACAGAGAATATGCAAACGCAGATCATTGTCTAGTGACATTTAAGCAATACAAAGGAAAGTGTAATTGTTTGACATATACAAAGTAATCTCAAAACAGCATACCAGAGAACTCAAAATGAGAGATGATAGATCACAGGCCTTTTCTTACAGGGTTACAGAAAAAAAATGACAAAACTAGTATTTAACAGTTGGATATTGTTAAACCTCCTTTTCAGAAAGAGTAATACAAATACACGAAGAAGATTATTTTATTTGAAAGCTTCAGAGGGGTAGCTGAGTTAGTCTGTAACTGGAAAAACTTAAACAACCAATAGTGTAGCAGCACTGCAAATCCGCATATATATCCTATTCATTTATCTTCTATCAACATTTTCTATGCGGGTGCAATTTTATAAGATTCTTTAAATAATGTGAAAGAAATGTAACTCTCCTGTATGGCTGCACAGTTGCAGAGAGACTGCAATGATAGTCGGAAGATGCTGAAAAATGGATTAAGTTCTGATAAGAGACATATGTAGGGTTGTCAACTTTCTAATCACACATGGAGTATATCTGCCCCACCTCTTCTGCTGCCCCACATATGCCATCCCCCTTCTCCACAACCTTATACAGGCAGTCCCCGGGTTACGTACAAGATAGGGACTGTAGGTTTGTTCTTAAGTTGAATCTGTATGTAAGTCGGAACTGGCGTCCAGATTCAGACACTGCTGAAACTGACCGCCAGTTCTGACTTACATACAGAATCAACTTAAGAACCCCAGGCGTCCCCAAGTCAGCTGCTGCTGAAACTGATCAGCAGCTGATTCCAGGAAGCCCGGGGCAGAGCAACTCTGCTGGCACCGGAGCAGCGAGAAAGCCCCGTTCGTAAGTGCGGATCCGACGTAAGTCGGATCCGCGTAAGTCGGGGACTGCCTGTATATGCAATAACATGTCACTTACTTTTGAGATATTTTCTGCAATCTGGTAGCTAAATATTTATTTAGTTTTAATTTATTTATTCTTCTTTGAAAACCATGTTCTTTCGAAATCAGTTCACCTTATCGATAATTTTAAGTTCTGCTAGTGATTAAATTTGTATCTAGTTAAAGGGATGGGGACCTATGGCCCAGCATGCGGCATGTCTTGATCCGGCCCACGAGGCTTGGGCTCTCTCTTCCCACAACAGAGCAAGCCAGAGCTGGCTTGTCCTGCTATGGAGTCCGGAATCCCAAGCGTAACAGGCTGGATCAATGCAAGTTACAGGCTGCATCGGGCCCACGGGCTCTGCCTAGCAGGGGAGAGGAAGTGGTTCTTCATTCTGATGTCATCCCCTACTCCCTCTGGCTGGGGAAATGGCAGCTCAGAGAAGCTCTGGTCATGTGCTCACATGCGGTTCTACCACAGGGGAATGGTCAGAGGCCATCTGGGGGACCACCAGCCATGCAACTCCTCCCCCAACACAGGGAAGGGTCAGGACCATTCCTCTTCACCTCTGCTCTACTCTTCCCTCTCTTGCGCTGTCCTCTCCCTGCCTCTCCTCTTCCCCCCAACCAAAGCAGCGCCGTGGACCAGCAGGGCTGGTGTCAGCAGTAAAGGTCCAGTCCCCCGCCCTCCTCTGCACTCGTCAGCAGAAGCAGGGGAAGTGGAACAAGGTAGCCCCAGCTGCTTTTCTCTCCCAACTACATCCATTTTCTGCTGGAAAGTGTGGGACAATCCTGCCTTCTTCCCTGGAGCAGTGTGCTGGGAGAGCAAAGCATCTGGGGCCATCTTGTTCTGTTTCATGCACCGGCAGTGAACGTGGAGAGCTGGACACCCTTCCTCTTCATTGGGCTGGGGCTAGGTTGCAAAGGGCTGAGACCCTAGCTAGGGACATCGGATCGGGGATGATGGGTTTGAGGTGCAGAACGGGGCTCTTGGATTCTAAGTGTGACAGGTTATGGATGCTCTGGCTGTGGACTCTGGGATGGGGCCAAGGATGAGGGGGCTCTGGGTTGGGGCAGGGTATGGATAGGTGTTGAGGGCTCTGATTGGAGGTGGGGACAAGGGGTTTGGGGCTCAGGAGGGGACTTTGGTGGTTCTAAACAAACTTTATGGGACTGTGAGAAACTTGGCCACACCGATGATAACTGCACATCCGGCTAATTAAAATCATGTAGGACCATAGATGTTGCCGGACCAGAGAATGCCGGACTATAGAGGTTCAACCTGTACTCTTTTTATCTGTTAAAAAGAGGTTTTCTTCTAGTATCAAGCACTTATTTATTTTCTTATTACGAGAAAGGACTTATTTGCCCTCTACAACTTTTGTTATTTTATATACCTCTTGATGCTTTTTCTTTAAAAAGGCATTCAACCTGATTTTTAAGTCTCTCCAAATGCAAGTCTTTTTATGTCTCCTTTTATTGCTCTTCATTGGGCACGATCTATTTCTTCTATGTTTGACTCTACTGTTTGACAGATCTTACTACTAAGGCTAAATCTGCCAGGCTCTGTTATTCCTGAAGGTGCTACTCAGATTTTTTTTGTCAGAATTATGGCAAACCAATCACCACTTCAGAGGTTGTATCTCAGACCAAAAGGTCTAACTAAAGCTGGACAGATAATTTAGGTAGGGATGCTCTGCACACACAAAATACTTCTGAAGATCTTATCCACTCAACTTAAATCCTAAATTTTGTTTTAGCTATGCTTGTTACTTCGTTCACCCTTCCCTTACTTATTTCTGTCCCCTGAAATCCTCTTTTATGATCCTATTCACTGCTGAAATAGCTGACAAACTGCAGACTCTCATTATGCTGACTTCAGTGACATATTATAGAAGTAGTAATTCAGTGTTTATGGGACTCAGGCCCAGGAATATTCACCAAGCAGTAAATAAATGACTGAAACTCACTTTTTGTATTCCAAATAGTGTTCAGCTATCTGTTCATCCCAAACAATTTTCGGTTTGTTTTCCTTCAGAGTCTCAATGTACCTATAAATTAAAACCACAGGTATACAATTAGTTTTATAATTATTCTAGAGAAATGTTTAAACCATTAAAAAATGTGAAAAGCTATTTATCCACCCAAGTGGCATATATATAAATCAGGTTGAATAGTTAATAGTTTACTCAAGGACATCCTTCTTTCAACAGTCTAATATATCCTTTGCAAATCAATTTTTTTCAGCCCATTTAACCAGCTTATACAGATATGCAATTTTTTTTTGCAACTGATGAATTGACTCATATGTATTTTCATTATTCAACTATTATAGCAAGCCTGCTCTGGTCCACACTTGTGGTCTGGTCCTAGGACACTTATGTCCAGGATTTGAACTATATTCTCAGCTAACAGGGCATAATATTTACCTATAGGCCACTACATCAGCAAAATGATTAATTATTTAAGACTGCTATACCCCGCAGAAAGCCATTTGATAAAAGAGTAGGTTAAATCTTTTCAAAATGGGATGCTTGTGTGTTCACTGTGTTTCCTATAAGCACCAGAAGAAATTTCCCCTTTTCTGTGTAGTTTAATTTATTTGTTTGGGTACCACCCTTCACAGCAATGACACATTTGCCATCTGTCACTGTTGGTGTCCTTCCAACTCAGGAAGAACCTAATCATGTCAAAATCTGAATGCAGAATCCAAGTTAAACCTGCACCTTCAGGAAGGGCATATTTTATTCAGGAAGGAAAGAAGGCCTAGTAGTTTGGGGGTTAACCAGGCACTTCAGAAACCCACATTAAACTCTACTCTGCCACTTTTTTGTGATCTTGTGCAAGTCATTCCATCTCTCTGTGTCTCAAGTTCCTCATCTGTAAAATGGGGCTATAGCATTCCTTTAGGTCACAGAGTGGTTGTTAGGGTAAAGACTGTGAGACTCTACACTACGATGTCTACACTACAGGCTTCTTGCACAAAAAACTTTTTGCAGAAGAGATCTTCCGCAAAAACTTCTTGCACAAGAGTGCGTCCACACTGCAAAAGCGCATAAAAAAAGCAATGCACTTTTGCGCAAGAGAGCGTCCAGACTGCATGGACGCTCTCTCGAAAGGAAACTCTGATTGCTATGTACAGAATGGGCACCAGGAAACCTATACTTTTTTCGATTGCCTCTTTTTTGCACAAAAATACCCTGTTCCCCGTCCACACACACCTTTTTGCGCAAGAGCTCTTGCAAAAAAAGGAGTTACTCCTCGTAGAATGAGGAATACCTACACCGGAAAAAACCCTCTGTTCTTTCATTTTACTTGCACAAAAAAGCACTTGAGGTGTGGATGCTTAGCGAGTTTTTGCGCAAAACCCACTGTTTTTGTGCTAAAACTCTGTAGTGTAAATCTAGCCTCAGATACTATGATAATGGGAGCCATAGATACATTTTTCCTCTTACATATCCTCCTGCCTCTTTTCAGCATTGATCTTCCTTCTCCCTAACTTTTTAAATATATTTTTGGACTAAGCATTGGAGCAGTCATTGATAGCTCATCCCATTTCCAAGAAGCACTGCCTTCTTTCTACAGACAACTGCAGATTTGAAACCAAAATCAAATCTCTACTTCCACGGCATCTCCTGACAGTGGTCTCTGAAGATTAACCAAGTAGGCAACAAGACTGTAGAAAGATGGTGTAACAAAAAACTACTCTTATCTTAGATTTCTATTTCTGTAAGGCTGGTTAAAACATCTCTTCCATAACATAGGCCTTATTATAGGAGAACTTCTCCATTTAGAACAACATTTATACGGAAAAATTGGACTCTTCGTCTTTTTATTTTTCAATACAATGTTTCCATCATCCAAGCTCAAGGCGGTCTGACTAATTTCCATCAACTATTATTCTAGCATGTTAATCCTGAAATCCTATCAGACTATACATTTCAAAAAAAGAAAACAGTTCTTATTTCTGAGTTTGATAAAGATTTATTCTCCCCTTTCTTCAAATGTTCTTCCAAATATAGTTACAGTATTTGCTGGCACACAGAATATTTCCATCACCTGTGGTTTTGCTCAGTCATATGCTGGTATATAGCCAGCCTAGGATTCAAATGGTATTTTTACAAAAGAAAGGAATTTGGGTTTATCGGCTATGTTTCACGTTGAAGCTATCTCAATGTGCTTCACAACATGACTAAGCGTTTGCTAGTCAGGTAATTGTGCCAGCAAACATATTGTAGCAGCTATTATAAGGTTGGCAAGAGCTGATTTATACAGTAGTTCTGAACACTTAGTTTTGCATTGACAGGCAACATAGGACTAAGATCCTTGTTCTCTTTTTGAAGAGTGACATAGAATCTTGAACTTCTCTTTGGAACATCATCAACCATGGGAAGCAGAGAGCTGGTTTTCATATTTAAATTGAAAAACAGCACTTCACACCTTGGTCCATTCCAGTACTGCAGCAACAATACTAATAACAGAACAAATTCTGGTGTTAGATTTGGGCTCATAAGGATATGGCCCAGAGGTGAGTGCTACCGGCTAATCCATGCTGATACACATGGTTTTCTTTTGTACATTTGAAGATAGAATAACAAATTCTAATTTGTTTAATAAAAACTTTAACAGCATTAGAGAGTGATAAACTTAGTCATTTTTTTAAAGAAAACCATAAATGTAACATATAGCAGCACGCTTCACAGTCTATTTTAAATGTTATGTGCATGGTTAATTATACAACCAAGACACATAACCATAATTATTTATTTATAGTTGCTTATTAATGTGCTGCATTTAATACATACCATGCAGATCTACACTGAACATAGTCCTCCCAGATTTCTCCGGGATGCTTTCGACCAAAGTAGTGAATCTACCTTCACACAACAGTAAAGTAAGGGGTATTATTCCCATTTTAGAAAGAGGGAAAAGGGTCACCAAGATGAAGGCCAAAATTGTCCACTAGTTGTGGGTACCCAACCTGAGAAACCCATGACCTTATTTTTCACAATGTTTATCAAGTGCCATAAAAATGCTAGGCTCAAAGCATACAAGCAGACAAGGATATATTTAGAACATAAGAATGGCCATGCTGAGTCAGACCAAAGATCTATCTAGCCCAGTATCTTGTCTGCTGACAGTAGCCAGATCCCTCCCTCTGGGGTATCTGGTATCACAACAAGTAATCCTCATGTGATCCCACTCCCATCACCCACCTGCAGAGAAACAGAGACTAGGGGCACCATTCCTACCCATCCTGCCCAATAGCCATTGATAGACCTAACCTCCATGAATCTATCTAGCTCTTTTTTGAATCCTGTTAAAGTTCTAGCCTTCACCGTCATCCTCTGGCAAGGAGTTCCACAGGTTGACTTTGCACTGTGCTAAGAAAAACTTCCTTTTGTTTTTTTTAAACCTGCTGCCTATTAATTTCATTTAGTGACCCCTAGTTCTTATATTGTGGGAATAAGCAAGTAACTTTTCCTTATTCACTTTTTCCACATCAGTCATGATTTTATAGAGCTCTATCATATCCCTCCTAAGTCTCTTCTTTTCTAAGCTGAAAAGTCCCAGTCTTTTTAATCTCTCTTCAGATGAGACCAGTTCCAAACCCCTAATAATTTGTGTTGCCCTTTTCTGAACCTGTGAATTCACCAACACAGCTTTTGATTGCCCTTACTCACAGATCATCTCTTTTCTCTGACTCATCGGTTACTTCACTTTAGCAACTACTGAGCCACAGCTTTTCGTGAAGGAAAGGGGGTTTTGTCTTTGTTTTGACTTTTGTTTTAAAACAGACAACAGCCTCACTCACTATGCAAATCTGTTTCAACCCCCACACCCAGTTCATCCTGGATACTGAATGAGGCACGAGTCCTGGAAACTCCCCTCCCCCCCAATGTGATCTGAAATTAAAGACTTATCATAATGCACACATGGGAGACAGCAAATTTCCATGACAGGGGATCATACTGACCTCCATGTGCAGCAGCAGCTGAGTTGGATCTCTTGGATCCACAGCATACACATCTCTACCACTTGAGCAGAGTAACTGGTAGAGGATAACCGCTTGCTACTGCTTCCTAAAACTACCACTAGGAGGAGGCTTAGAAAATTTGCCAGTAGGTTTCTCAACTGCTTTCGAGCCAGCAGGACAATGCTGTGACTCAGGAATCCTGGATTCTGTTCCAGATTCTGAAGAGACTGCTCTTCAGAGTCCAGAGGGAAGAAACGCTTTTGAAAATCCCTTAGCATCCACCTTTCTTTGTCCCACCTGTTCCTTTCTCTGCCTCCAATGCTGGCCTGCTCTCGCTCTGTTCCTATCACCCCCATTCTGCTCCCCTTTTGCTATCCCCTCTGAACTGAGTTACAGTGCCTGGCCTCCCTGCATCCCTGGAAGCCATTGGAAAATGACAAAGTCCCATTCAGCAGCTGCAATCCTGATCTAAATATGCTCAGTGCAGACTGAGCTGCCAGCCTCTAATAAACCTCTACTGAATATGTGCAAATGAAAAATGTGGGGAGATTTTCATGAAGACAGCAGCAAAAGGAATCTGACCCCTTCACGAGCACTGTGCCAATTTCAAGTGCCTGCTCCTAAACACAGAGATGCAGAAGAGTCCTCTCAGCTAACCCACTATTAATGTAACAGCTTCACACGGGTAGGCGAGTGAGTCTGTAACAGGAAAAAATTAAAAAACAACCAATAGTCTGGTTGTAGTATAAAAACTAATCATGTGGATGGTATCATGAGCATTCATGGGCACAGCCCACTTCTTCAGATGACCGTAGAAAACCAGTGTATTTCCCCACAAGCCTCATTCTCTGAAGTGGCTGAATTGTAAAAACATCAGCTTATGGCAAGTACCTGGAATGGAAAATTTCAGCCTGAGCTGTTAAAAGTTTTACAAAGTTACAAACTACAGAAAACACGTTCACATAATAGAAAGCTGGGCAACTTTGCCTACAAGTGTCGCTGCCAGCTTCACCTGCAATAGGAGAGAAACAAAATGCACAGTGAACTATCTATAAATTACTGCCAGGGATATGC